TAATAATGACAGAAAAGTTTTAAGATCAGTTTATTAAAATTCATTACATTGCTTTACAGGTCAACCGGAGGTAACCAGGATTCCTTGAATGATAGGTACATTAAATATTTATTATTTTATTTTTTTTTTTTGAGTCTGTGCATGGCAGTGAGTATTGAGAGAAGGTTATACGTTAGATCAACACGATTAAAGTACAATAATAGCTTTTTTTTCGATAACTATAAAGTTTTCCAAGAGTTTAGAATTTTCATAGGAAATAGAACATTGTTTAAATGTTTAATTTTTATATTCCATATCATTGAACAATTATTTTATTTTATTTTTTTGCAGGAAATTGTTCGTTGGTGGACTAAGTTGGGAAACCACAGACAGTGAGTACCTTTTTATTTTTTTGAGATCATAATTTTCCTTTATAAAACGCTATGTACCATATGTACACAGTTTTCAATATATACACATACTTTATTCCTTTCGAAACAACTGCAATCCTATAAAATGAATTAACTTCACTTGTTCCGCTATGTATTCAATTTTTATATTTATAGTACAATAATTTCCAATAACTATAACTTAGGAACTGTATTGAAAGTCTTTTTAATAGCAAAAATAATAAACAATGATGTTACAACTTAGGACACCTTCAGATGACATTAAGTCATATGAGATCGCTAGTGGCTTTACTGAGTTTTTATTTAAAAAGTCGATTGCGAATAAAATTTTCATTTTATTCTCAACCTTTAAATAAACCGATTGATTTTCAGAGGAACTACGAGACCATTTTGGGACATATGGAGATATTGAAAGCATCAATGTCAAAACAGATCCTAATACAGGACGTTCCCGAGGATTTGCTTTTATTGTATTTGCAAAAGCAGAATCGCTTGATAAGGTAAAGCAATAAATTACAATTATAGTACACCACGTATAAAAAGAGTAAAGGCAAACAAGCTAATTATAAATCTTTTGCACTAGAGTTGCGTTTCTAAGGCGCTAGTAAAAACTGTGCCATCACGTTTTTCTAAACATTTTTATATTACTTAACCTTATTTCTTATAATATTTTATATTCTTGTGAAACTCACCTTTCAATATCAAAATACTAATTTACGAAGGATACTCGAAATATAAAAGTCTTTTTATTAGAATGATGATACTTTAACTAGTCAGTTCTGCTACTGAAATTTTGTTGAGGACTTTCCACACGTTCTGAGTTCATAATATAATATAAATTTATTAACATACTAATGGTTATATATTTCATACGATTATTTATAATTTCTAGATTATGGCAGCTGGTGATCATGTAATTAACAACAAAAAAGTTGATCCCAAGAAGGCGAAAGCTAGGCATGGTAAAATCTTTGTTGGCGGTATTTCAACAGAATTATCCGATGATGATATTAAAACTTTCTTCTCACAATTTGGAAACGTAAGTACCTCAGCCTGTCTATCAGATTATCTAGTTGTAGCGAGCGAATCAATTTCTTAGACAAATCATATCTATATTATAGATCGTCGAAATAGAAATGCCATTCGACAAGACAAAGAACCAAAGAAAGACGTTCTGCTTCATTACTTTCGAGTCTGAGCAAGTAGTAAATGAACTATTGAAAACTTCCAAACAGACAATCAATGGAAAAGAGGTAATTGGAGAAAGTTGTAGATGATTGATTGAATCAAATGCAAAAATGATTCTTAACACGATGCTAAAATGATAAATTTTTCTAAAATAGGTCGATGTGAAAAAAGCCACACCTAAACCAGACGGTATGGGAGGGATGCGTGGTGGAGCCGGTGGACGTGGTGGCCGCGGCGGCAGGGGCGGGAGAGGACGCGGTTACGGCGGACAAGGCGGCTGGGGTCAAGGTGGATACGGTGGCGGATACGGCGGCGGTTACGGCCAAGGCGGTTATGGCGGTGGCTATGACGGCTACGGAGGAGGCTACGATTATTACGGCGGTGGGTACGGCGGCTATGGTGGTTACGACTACAGTGGATACGGTAATTTGATTGATTATTATTAAAGAACTTACACGCGCTTATCGCTGTGTAGGATCATTTCGAAGAATTTGGTTTTTCCTTTTCATAATAATCAATGGCAGATGATTGTCTGCTGCTACCGTCCCAGTGTATTCGGCAGACGATAACGCAAACTTTACACTTATAAGTTATAGCTTTTATGTTCGACCTGTCTACCCTGTGTCTTTCATCCATTTTTTTACACTGTAATTCAGAGAATCTTAAGGATTTTCTGAAATTACTAGTGTTCGTGGTCAGATAATTTATATTCTGCCACATATGTATACTCAGAATCTACATTTTTAAATGTGTATATTGAAAACCTATTTTATTTAATCGGATCGAATAATTCAATTCTAACTTCAGACAGATAAGTCTTCATACGTTGTATCATTCATTGAATTACGCAATGAAACGTTTCCTTTATGTTATTGATGTTTAATATTATTTATATATTTGTTATTAATGAAAGTATAGAATGACAGACAACAATCTTTAGTTTTTGAAACTCAAAATGTATCCGATTAGTTAAAATAAGTCCTAATGTAATTTTCAAATATTTAAAACATATGCATATGCGGCCATATATTAACCAAAAGTATATACTTACCTGCCTATCCATCCAATGATTTACTCTAAATCTTACAAAACAAACTTAACTTACATTATATAAATTATAATCGTCTGCCTCTATAGTACTACATCGTAGTACATTGATGGAGTGACTAAAATTGGTATTGTATGTATGTATCATACAAAATGATGAAAGATGTATGATATCAATAATAGATGCTGCAGGGTGAGCGCTGGTTTGCAGGCGGATCAGCGATAATATTTATTTTTAAATGAATGCATATTGTTAGTTAAACTAAAGACGAATTGATTCTAGTAAATGCATTTAAAATATTTTCAAAAATCAGATCGAATTCTATATAAAAATATAAAAAAAGTGAACCAGCAACTCAAATACGTAGTAAATACATTCGGATTGTGTTTTCCCCTTTAAACGAATTACATAGGATAAGCAGTTTGTAGAAATAAATAGCTATATCTTTTATATTATTTCAATAATAGGTACATTTTTGTTTCCTTGACTTCGGACTATATTATGTAAAGTGAAAACTATTGCATCTTCATAGTAACAACAATGAAATTATAAATTAATTTGATTAATCGGTCAAGTGTTTAAATAATGATGAAAGATATAGTCACGTGTTTCTACATGTTCTCATCGAAATACTGAATGTTTTCATTTTTACATAGTACAGTGAAGAAATTTTGAATTTTATAGAAGAAAATAGATCTAATAACAACACAATCCGATTTGTATAATCCCTACTTCCAGAGGGTTGGATGTTTTTGAGCTGTGACCAAAAATTACCTTACATATTCCATCAAATTGATTAAGCTACATTGTTTGATGCCTCATGAATACTGAATTTCTATATACATATATATACACACATACATACAAATGAATGTGGCATTGATAACAAATTTCACAAAGCCAGGACATCATATGAATATGTAACAGTGAATGTGTGAAGGACAACACAGTTTTTTATTCAAATACATTAGAAGGAGCTTAAATTTGGTCTAACTCGCGAATTGAACTGACATGTGTTTTCTATAGCAAATTCATATCCTTTTTTTGACGACACTTGAATTATGTCCATGAACAAGATATAGTGTACTACATATTCACGATTTTTTCGAAACACATACAAATATTAATATTTCATACGTTCACTGATTGATGTCAGTGAATTTGTAGATCGGATTCTTTTCTACACTTATATTCATTTTGTTCTTTCATTTCTGTGAAAAACTTTGCAAAACCCATTTACGTAAAACACACGCAGTCACTGTAACATAACTATATGTGAAATTACAAAGTGTAGAAAACATTAAAGTAAAAACTACACAGGACGATATATCGTGTGAAATGGTATTAAACCTTAAAATCCTTGCTTTTGAGTCCTGTCAGTCCCAATGTGCATGTTTTACTCTACATTTCACGTAACCTCCTCTTTCATGAACAATTAACATTTTTTCTTTTACAATAATTATATACACTCGCAATGATTGTTGGTGTTCACCTGTTCCTTTTGTTAACTACCTTCCATTGTCTTCAGCATGGTTATTACGTTATTCATTGAAAAAATGAAACATTTCATTCTTCATTAATCAACTGTATTTGTTGAAAAATTCTTTCATGGTACATGCGCCCCATTATTGAGGTTTCAATTTCTACACACAACACTCGCGTGTTCGACCCTGCACACACTTCCTTTCCCTGGGACTGTGGCGAATCATTCCAAAATATTACACTAAAATACCTCGTCACAAAAAGAAATTTAAATGCATGTCACTTTGATGAATCATTCAAATAGAATTCAAACGATTAATATCAGAAATCAATGAACAGCAGCCTCTGCACTTGTTATTATACATTGAATGTGCAAACAATGAACCCTTTGGAAGATAATATTATCTTCTTATATATAATTACATTTGATATGGTTTCAATTGTTTTCAACTTAGATATAAAATTTTTTCTTCAAATACCGGCAAAAAGTAATGCTATAGAAATATTTTAATATAGAAATTAAAGTATAATTCTGCCGGTACATGTTAATACTGACCCCATTGTCTCTTGTACCGTGTGTTCCATGAAACGCAGACGGCTATGGCTATGGCGGTGGTAGTTACGATGGTGGCTACAGTGGTGGGCGCGGTGGTGCACGCGGTAAAGGTACGCATTAGCGTTCCTTCTCTATTGTTTTTGTACATCCCCGTCCGATTTTGCTGGCATATATCATATTCATTATTATTTCTCATCAAACATCCCCCACCTCGTTTATCTTTCACCTTCGTCATCATTTCCCAGTGTTTTCTTTCAGTATGTGTGTACATGTACGTGTGGTCATATGGAACTTATATTTTATTATATTTATAATATCACTGTACAAATGAGAAGGAACTGACAGTATTTCCTGACGCGCATTGATCTATGTACGAAGAGAGAACGGTTGTCTTTCATTTATGTATAACTGTTTCCATTTTATAATCAATTCTGTACATATTTCATTTTCAAATCACTTCCAAGATAGTTTATTTTCTTTAACCAAATCAAATAGGAGAATTGTTTTTACATCATATTAATATATTAACTAGAACTTTAGAAATCATTTACTTACACGATGAGTAAATATTAACGTAAATTCATATTTTTATATATTAATCTAAAAAACAGACGAAATTACATCAAAATTTATTTTCTCTATTAAAAGCTGTATGAAATTTGCGATAAAATTACTACATAAATATTTGAAGTTAATTTATAT